TTATCTGATCCCCTTTCGTTTCTTTCAGCTCGTTCACCCTCCCTTAACTCTGTCTATTACTTAACATGATCCTCGCAAGGTGTTAAATCGTATTTTTACGTGAAAAACGAGTCTCGAAACTAATTTTATCACACGAAACCGCACGTTCTATGAACTTAGTTATTTTTCTTTATTGAATATGTTATAACTCCCATGCTATACGAATAGCATGTGAAATTCGTTATTCATTAAATTGAGGAATTTCATGTAATAAAAAAAAAACATTTTTAATTGTCGTACAAACTGCTCTTTTAATTTACAAGCTTTGTACGTACTCATATCGGTTGTACATTTGCCATGAAAGTCGGATTTTAATATTTGCAGCGGGACCTCGAGGAAAAAAACTGTGGCATATCGTTTTGATATACGCTTACGAATTGCGCGTGGGACGCGAACGCGTACACAGCATCCAGAGTCGATTACTTTGTACGAAGTTCAGAAAAAGTGGCACAGATATGAAACCGTGTTTCGGGTATCTCGCGTGTGCACGGAGACTCCGTGCCGAGTTTGTTTTTGCCGGGTGGATCATTAATATAACGGCTTATCGGAGGATTAGTCTACAGTGTCGGCCCGTGTACACAAAAGGGGGGCCGCGTGACTCTAAAAGAGCAATGCAAATTAACGTTTTTCGGTTGATGTCCACGGATACTCGTACCTCTCATAAAATACCCGCGGCATACGTGACGTGAAGCACCGAATACCGGATTGTATGCGAACAGTTAGGATTAAATCTGGTAAAAATTGACCGCTGCAAAATATATCCCGTACCCGTTATGTCCCGAGATTCTTCCCATTTCTCTATAGAACATATAAAATTATTCTATGGACTGACAGCAGTTTAAGTATTTATATACATAATACATGTATAAACGCTTCATATTAAGAATTCTCAGCTGCAATTTCAAACATACTATGATACGTTTAATGTAACTGCACTTAATTGTAATAAAAAGTTTAATTCATCTCCACTACTCCAATATAGATTTTAAAACTCGAGCTCGCAGACTTTTTCAAAGTGTTCGCCCATCATTGTCGACGATGCTCAGACCAATTTATGTTTTACTGGCGTTACCAGTTATTCTCATCGAACTCTCCACGGGCCCAAGCGAGATCGTCAAACACAACGCAGCCGTCCGCGTGTGTTTTATCGGTCCCGTAGGTTCGCGACGAAATTTTCCTCTCGATCACGACAAGCCCGCGGAGACTTCGAGAGCAGCGTATATTGCAGATGTCACCGGCGGGAGCATTCGTTCAAAGATAGCTTAATAGCAGCGATATTTTTTCTGGCTCCGATAGGACGCGTCACATGCATGGAGTACAGCAGTATCGTTTATAAGATTATTTGCATAAATTCAGACGAACAGTTTCGATATTAAAAATTGGATGACGATCGATATTCGAACGGCACAATGCAACCCGTGAACCGTATTATTGAACAGTGGTGTGTCTGAAAAAATTTTTTCAAAGTGAAAAAAGCATCGGCAGTCAAAGCGGCTTAAATACTGGCAGAAATTCAATTACGGCTGAAAAGCCGCAAGGTCTGTGTTTGTCGTAAACGGTTCTCGCAGAAATTACGAACTCGGGCCAACCCTCGGCACCAACACTCGAACGCGTAAAAGGGTCGTTTTTTCCTCCCACCCTTCGGAGGCGATCCCGCTGAATCGCATTTACTTGTTCGATTTATTTATTTTACCTGACCCGGTCGTCCTAAAGCCGAGCTTTCCTCGGTCGGCCGGTCCCGGATGGAAATTTAATGCAAGTTAGATGCGTTGAACACAATTCGATTCGACTGTATTGAAACGCCGCACCGCGCCGCGACGAATAATTTGAGATTCATCGAGATGCAGCGGGGCCGCGAGTCACTTGTAATTCTTTTCCGTCGTTGCCTCCGGCAGCGCAGTTTCCACTGTCTGACTCGTCTTACTCCCCGTCTCCGCTCCATCCCTGCCTCCCTCCCGGCCCCTTCAACCCTGATTCGCGCTGCCTTTTTTGTCCCGCCATTTGTTCGAAATAGCCCGGCACGGAAAGATGGTACGAGAATTACGATTGGCGAAAAGAGAGACACAGAGATCCTGACCCGGAGCGAGAGCAACAGGGAAGGCGGGTGGTAAAAAAAAAGGGACAAGAACGGTGGGACGGGGTGAAACAGTGGGAGGCTCCGGACATCGCTCTATCGAAGTTAACTTCGCATTTAACATCTGCCTGGGAGGTTAAAATTTCCCTCGAGGTTTACTCTAAGTTGTACGGCAACGGTATATCTTTTACCCCCACCTAGTCCAAGAAAAGAAAATTAGTGGAGGCTCTTATCGTTGAACGACGGGCCAAGAACTTTCAAGAAAGACAATACGTAACAGTATAAAATTCATGTATGCATTGAAATGGATATACATACGTAGAATGCTAGAATGCGCGTGTTCAGTATTGGACATTAAAATCAGTTCTATCGATCCAATAAATAATTCTTTACGATCAGCTGTCAGAGAACAATTTTTATGAACAGCTTGCCGATACGTTTCACTAATTCAGCTACGAATGTAAAAATAATTCAAGCAGCGAGAATAAAATAGAAACGTGAATGAAGAGGTAATAGGTAGCGTTGAAATCGGTCAGTGCACGTGACCCCCCAGTGGTTGAAAATTAATTCACGGGAAGAGGGTGGAAAGTAAAAGAGGAAGGGGCGAGTTTAATTCCTCGATTTCGGAAGCAATATTGATGGTGCAGCAATCTGCGCGCGAAATATCGTTTGACGTTTCTATTAGAGATCGATGACGAGCGGCGAGGGGTGTGTACGATGCGTGGCCGCGCGTAAATCTTGTCGTGCTACAATCACGGGCCGGATCAACGAATCGGATAAAAGTAATTCGCGGTAAAAGCGATTTTCCGTGAGCGCGAACGCGCGGGATGAATAATAAACGCGGCCAGAAACGCGCATACCATTCGGCCAATTATTCGAATCGTGAACAATTCTCTGTCGATACTTGTTGATTTAACGAACGGACGGTCAACTAGATATGTCCCATTACGCGGTCCTTTCTCCGTTTCTGTATTTTGTTTGTGCCATTTCGCCGGATAGTATCGTTTGAATTTGATGAGTTCGGTTAGTCGGTCGATCAATAAAAACAACCGTGCTGCTGCTGCTTTTGCTGTTGTCCACAGAGTACCCGTGTACACGCGTAGCGAAAGTGACACTTTTGAGACCGTGCGTTCCACGATTAAAAGAACCGCCAGCAATTCAACTGTACCACCAACTTTTTTGTTTATCAAACCAACTCGAAAGCAAAAGTTTGTTATTTTTTCACAAGATATTCTTTAATACATTTCTTAAGAATATTAATGATAAAAAAATAGTGAGAGGTTTGATAAAGATTAACACTTGGCGGATGTAATAAGAAAAGATTCCGAGATAATCGCGGGGCCTCCAGGCTCGGATTCGATATACGTCCGACTGAATGGGAGCCGATGCGGCGTTTATCGCAGTGAACCATAAAGCATAAAAAGCTGGTGATCTTTCGACTCGGATTCCTACGGTGGAGAATCCCGAGAATATTGAAATCATAACGTACCGGGGATGAATATTATTCAGGTCTTAAGGCAATATAATCCAAAGTCGATCGAGCCGTTCCGAATAAATTTGGTAACCCGCTGTTCACTTTGAGCCTGATGGTGAAACGAGGGTCGGGCCACTGACGCAACGCTCCGGGCGAACTTCGATTAGAAGATAATCGCTAGCTGATATTCGAATCTTGAGAACACTTATTACAGTTTCTAGGGATAATTAAAATCCCAACTTGGGAATTAAATAACATCATGAACGTATGTAACGTAATTATGAGAGATTCATAATAACAAGTCTGACAATGTAAATCTCGGTCAGAAACTTTTTACGTTTGACCAGCAACGTTCATATAAGATTTGTACGGAAGTGTACGATTAATGGAAATTGAATCCATAAAACGAACATTTTTCCAGGAACGCGCGTAATAAAGGCTGATACTACTATTCGCAATTTACATGCGTAGATCCTGTCCGAAAGGAACTATTACGCGCCATACCAATTACGTGGTATACCCGGCCTCGGCTAGCGTTTCGTATCTGCTCGCTACTTATTTGCAATGAACAAAAAGCAAGATAGGAGTGAGCAAACAGCGATAAAACATCCTTGTCCCCCCGGATAACTCGTCTAGCATTACATTCATCGCGCATGCATGCATTAAGGAAGACGAGACAAAAACCGGGGTTGGAAGCGGGAAACTGCCCGGTTGACTTCTCTGTAAACGTCAGTAAATTAGTGTTTTCGCGGTTCGAGTGTCTACTATTACGTGGAGGCGCGGTAGAGGGAGGGGCAATAAAGTCCAGGTAGCATGTAATAATTGCTTCAACCCACGGCGCCGGGGCGTCTGTCGAAAAAACAAAAAGGGAAAGTCCGCGTTAATACGCTCGTATATTTCACCGTGACGTGCTTAGAGAATGAGCGGCTCTGTGAACGCGATATTTCTGTTTCACACCATTAAAGACGGGTTTCTTGTTGATTAAACGCGCGCCCCGTGGAACAGTTTCTGCTCGTTTTACATCAACAGTTTCTTGATCACCGAAAGAACCGACGACGTCGTAAAGGCCAATCGTGCGTATTCACGTCGCGTAGAGACGACGACGCAGCTTTTATGATAGCGACGAATGATAGAGCTGAAGCTTGTGATTTGCGGTAACCGACGTTTGCCCATCACCAACTTTACTATTTTGGAGAAGTTTCTATTATAAATTCAAAGATAATGCCTCTTTATGGACTGCGAAAATGTAATACGAGTGGATTTATTCATTGCTTCGTCGCGTAACACTTTTGTCTTATTTTTAATCGTAAAATATGCTGACAGACAAGTATATATCTCTATATGATTATTCTAAATTGAGATTCTTCTTTCTATGAATAATTTAACAGTGTGCACATATCATTTCTGTTACAGATCTGCGAACTACGCGAACGCAACGAAGCAGTGCGAGCTTTCCGACATGGATAGACTGACGGTGGCTGGATCGAGCGCGTTCCAAATCGCCAAGGGATTCGATTATCTCGAAAATCATTGCGTGGACGAGCCCGTAAAACTGTGCGAATTCAAGAAACTGTCTGGCCGTATACTGAAGACCGTCGATTCCGTTTATCAAGATGTCGGTAGCGCCGAAGAGTGCCGCGAGCTTTGTCTTAACTCGCCGTTCCGTTGCCATTCTTACGATTACGGTGACACTGGCGATATGGTCTGCCGACTCAGCCATCATTCCAGAGCTACACTTTCGGATATCCAGGTAGGAAATCGCGCAATTAATCGAATAACTTTCTATGATCGTTTCATCAATTGCATTATGAATATATTTATATGAATTCATATCACAAAAAAAAATAATTGCGACTTGTATTGATTAAGACTTAATTTTTCTATCGATCACTAAAAATTTGAAAAACAAAACAGAAAATTACATAGGCGATAGGCAAACGTAGTGAGAATAATTCATTGCAAGGAAATAGTTTTAATTTTTTTGAAGACCTATGTAAAATGATCGAACGTCGATTTCGGGCGTGGGAATTTGTTAGGAAGTCGTTGAGTTCAAGCCTGATCCCACATGTAGATACCTACTCGGTATAGGAAGGATCGGTGGAGGTTTTCTGTAAACCTGATTATGTACATTGCGCGCACGTGCAAACCGGGAACAATTCGCCGTGAGAGCGGGTCGCGTTCGTGGAAAATCGAGTTTCCATCGCAGATGCTTACCCTATCGAGCCTGCGGGCGGTGGGTTCCTGGCTTCTGCATACGAGAGAACGCTTCGCCGTGGCTAACTCAAGACAAAGAATTTTCTTCTCGCCAACCTGTTGAAGAATCGGCTCACTCTATTTCCGGTCCGTGTCCCGCGCCCAATTGGAACACGGCTTTTTACATACCCTCGTCCCACGATTTCTATTTGCGTTTCGTGATTTGTATCGAGTGAAACCAGATAGAAAAAAATAATTATTCGCGATCTCAATAAGTTTGGATATAATTAAAAATTAATTCACTTTCTGTAACACATTAAAAATTCAATTCTTGATTTTCCTCGTAATCAAATAAAATGCGAAATTTAATGCGATAATAAATTAAATGTTAAAATGATTGCACGTTTCATGAAACAACTTAAATAGCAGGTTACGCGTTGGTAATTAACAAATAATGTGAGGAGACGATATCTCTTTGAGTTAATGCCATAATTCTGGCAATGAACGAGCTGCTCCGGTTTTGATACATTCAGCAATTAGTTAGCGGATAAAACGATAAACGAGGATCGACACACTTACGATAGCCGGGGTTTTGTATATAGCAGATAATTATTAACATTGACTACTTCAGCAGAAATATGCAAATCGTTATTATCCTATCCACTTGGATTATCGTATTATCAAGAGGAATTACCGTATTTGCATAAACGAGTAAATTAATATTGGAATGCTCTCACCAGCGTTTGCAACAAAAAATATGAAAATATGCATATTTGAACCTTAACATAATAAAATGATAATATGAAATTAATTTACACTATTTTTAATCATTGACAGACGTTGAAGAATTATATCGTAAAGGACTATGCTTAATATATATATTATATTTGTCTGCAAGATGGGAAAAGATGTTTGTTACTAATTTCAGGAACCTTATCTGGACGTGCCCGAGGGATCGACGTACGAATTGAGCTCTTGCTACAACGTGACCATCGACTGCCGCGCGGGCGATATGGTGACGCGAATTCAGACCAGCAAGCTATTCTACGGCAAGGTGTACGTGAAGGGGTCGCCGAATTCGTGCGTGCAGGACGTGAAGGGTGCCTTGGAGTTCGAGCTCCGAATGGCGTACGACGATCTCGAGTGCAACATCAGACAACAGGGCCTGGGCCGGTACCTGAACGACGTCGTGATCCAACACCACGACACCATTGTCACCAGCTCGGATCTCGGGCTGGCCGTCACCTGTCAATACGATCTGACCAACAAAACGGTGTCGAACGAAGTCGATCTCGGCGTGCACGGTGACATAACGCCCGCGCTGTCCGAGGAGGTGATCGTCGACTCGCCCAACGTCGCCATGAAGATCACCGATCGCAGCGGAAACGAGGCCATCCCGTCGGCCGAAGTCGGTGATCCACTGGCGCTCAAGTTCGAGATCCTCGACCCGAACAGCCCCTATGAGATCTTCGTCCGTGAGCTGGTCGCCATGGACGGCGTCGACTCCAGCGAGATAGTCCTAATTGACTCGGACGGTTGCCCGACCGATCACGTCATCATGGGACCGCTCTACAAGTCGGTTAACAGCGGCAAGGTAAGTTCCGATCTAATATATATCATCTGACGTGTCATTTTCAAACGCGATTCTAAACTGCACTTAATGAAGTAATAAGTGTCCAGTAATAACACTAAAAAAAGTCAAGCTATTTATATTGAAGACAATTCAACACTTTCACATGAATATGGTCGTGTAGAAACGGTCAGACGTTGGAAACGTGGATACGCGATTAGAATGGGATAGCAGAGGCTGTTAGAAGGCAACAGTTGTCACAGGCGCAAGCTGTTATTACTCGTTTCGGTTCCGGGGAGGTGTTTGAAATTTCTCCCACGCCTGTTTCTCGTAGTCGACGATAAAAACCGGGATAAAGACCGATTCTAATTTGACAGACACCGCGAGCGTCGCGGCTAATAGAGATGCTTGACGCCGATAATGTCGATACTTACAACGGCGCGGCGCGGCCCGTTACATGGGAACGTGCATTATGATATACAATATAACGTTGTTTCGAACCTCTAATACACCGGGCTGAGAGAGACGGCTTGTGGAAGGAACGCGGAGCAAGTGAACCGGCCAATCGGTCCGACTTCATGCTAATCAATCACTCAAACGGATTTTACGACAGGAAGCAATTTGCTCGCGCCGTAATAGGTCACATCGTTGATGCGCCGTCGCTTAACGATGGCGTGTCATGATGCGCGCTGATGGTGGCTTCGGGGGCCTCATTATTCTCAACATAGTAATGCTCGGTCTGCTGCCTGAAAATTTGGAAAGCAAACATCCCTTCGTCATGCTTGACGTGAAACATTACTCGCGGGGACAATTCCCCCTATAAAAGTGGTCAAACGGGTTTTAAACGAACAACCACATTTTTGATGAAATGATAAAAAGCAGAAATATGTTAATTAATAAGATTTCAGTACGTCGATGGGTTTCGAAGATATTGCACATATCGTAACATCAGTCGCGTCACTATCTAACTTAGTGAGTGAGATAGAACATTTTTGATTGCTTCTGGGATAGAGAACGTGTAAAGCCCGCCGTAAGGTGTGACAGCGTAAATAAAATTCCCTCGGGTAGCTTCCACCCATGTATTTCACTTTGCGGTTAATGTAATATCACTTACCGAGGTCCCCAGAGATATTTCCATTCTGATTTCTGATTCGGGAGAAGAATAAAAATATAAGATACGTGAATTTAGAAAATCAGGTTATCCATCTCCGATATATCTTTATAATAACGTCGCGAACTGTTATTTATTTTACTTAATGAGAGTTGATAATGACTTTTATTATTCGTGTTAGGAAGCGTCCTATAAATTTTCTCTGCAGTACTCGTTAGGCTGCTGCATTTTTACTTGGCGTAATCGTTTCGCTTAATAGCGGAACATAAATAAACGGGCGGAAATAGGAGAAGGAAGCGGAAAAGTAGCCAATATGTTTCGATGCACGGGTATATGCGTACACCAAAGACGTTGATCAATGATCACGCCACGCCCACTACGAGATGGATGACATTATCGAGATGTAACAACGATTCAGACATTCCGCGCGATCGTGTCAAGGTGTCGAAATGCCGCTGAATCATCAGTGAAATGCAATTCCCGTGTGCAAAGTGTACACGTGTGTACGTACATGCATACAGAATATCCTCTGACGTGGCGGCAAATTACAAAGAATGAATCAATTTGATAAACACCTCACCGTCGCGTCGAATTACTGGAAAATATGTTCATTTATTCTACTATTGAAATTCATTGCTTCAATCGTCACAGAAAAAGGTCTAAACGAAGATGCAGTACTTGATATAAATTTAGAAACCAATTTAATGTATCGATTTATAATTCTACACTTTCCTCGTCCTGGTATTTTTTAAATGACTTGTCACTAAACCGGTTCACTCGTAAATTGCGCTGTGACTCCCATTATGAATGCAATAATTAATTATAAAAACATTGTTTTTAATGACGTTTACGAAATGATCTATGCAACGTTCTATGCAAAATGGGAAGTAATGATGTAACATTAACAAATTGGGAATTTCAATCGCAGTCAGCGACCGCTCGTTATAATATGATTTTATGCAGACGGAAAGCCGGTTGGGAAAATAAAAGATCGGCGATAGTGGTTTGCCTTAATCATCAAGACCGATGGCGGGGGCACGACTGTCTTAACGCGATATGAAAGATCGTTCCACCGGTAATGATCATTCCTTCCGCGTGTTCCTCATGAGGAAGCGTAAAATTAGCTACCGCGATCACGTTGACGAAGGAGGGTAGCAATTTGTTCGACAGAACTAGATATTCGGAGAATGTTAAGCGCGCCTAAGCGCGCCTGATAAATTGAATGCGCCAGTGTACCGGGGCTACGCTGAATCTGCCTTAGAAAATTAGAAATAATAGCCGCTTCAGATAAATTGAGATCATCAAATGGATCAGGTAGCTCGCGTTCTACGAAAGATAAATCTATTAGACCTACGGTTTAATTTGCTTCAAACATTAATTTCTCAAAATGTGTTCAAGATATGTTAGAAACAAAAATAGCTTCCCTCTTATTAATCCTCACCCGGACGATTCGATGATTGTTTTACAGACGTGATGATGAATTTATTCATGATTTATACACGGATGGCAAAAAGTTAAAGGGTTCGCTTTAAAAGAATGAGAATATTTTAAGATCGCGACGATCCATCTTAAACCTAACAAGTTCCACCTCGTTATCCTCCTCTCGCGTTAAAGAAATACGTAAATGACCGGCGCAATTTTAATCGCAATAGCGTATCGATGAATAACGGCGCAGGACTATGTTAACGACGTAAAGGATTATTCGTCTAATAACGATCGTTCCTTCCGCGTACGCCGCATAAGGGAGCACGAAAATTAGCTTACGAGCCGCTATTAGTATGTAATGCGGGAAGACATTCGATGGGAGCGAGGGAACGAGCGAGGGCCCTTGGAGCATCATTAATTCTTGCAAATTTTATCGCCGCAAGATCGTCGCGCGCGATAAGGAACTTCACACATCGTATGATTTAAGAGGTAGCTGTCACGGTCACGAACGATTTCGAGTTTTCTAGCTACGATATAATTATGCTTCTAAGTGAACTTCGCGCGTACAAGATCCATCCGGCCGATAAGCTCCCTCAAATCCACCCTTTCCTCCGTTCTTTTTTTTTCAATTATTGCCTGGAGTTCCTCATCAGCGTGCTCGGACCTGTGGCGATCGTTTTCGATAAAGCAACCCTTTAACTCCTCTCCCCAACGTTACGTAATCGAAACTTTCAGCATCCGTAACGACGCCACGCTATCATCTTTATCAAGCTTAACCTTTTACATTGCAACATTCCATTACCAACGGAAATTTTCTTCGCGAGATATACGCGTTCTAAAGATACTCAACGGTTAATGAATTCTTATCGTAAAATCCATTAAAATTCTCGAACTACATTGATAAAATGATAGGTAGAAGCATTCAAGTTTCCCAAGCGCGTATACGTGCTTAGCTCTGCGAGCGTACGTATTAATGTTGCTCGGAAGAGGTGGACAGTTTACGTGTTCATTAATCAGCATCAAACCAAGTGCCGAGGTCAGAAATTCTGCTACGCACATTTAAAGTTCATTTAACGTACCGAGAAACTGTGCGTAGCCGGGTTTCTTGAACGATACACTCCAGTCCAGTAATTTACGAGAGGAGATAGAAATTTATGTTGCGCCCTTTCTGTTAGTCATTCCTACCTGACGCAAACATTTAATTAAAAAACATTTAATGCAACGCAATTGATACACCGCGCGCTCCGCTTAGATGCCCTTCAAGTGGCATGATGCATCGTTTCGAATTACGTTTCTCGCGAATCGAGAACCCATAAATGAGAGTAACTTCTTCAGTTATTTAAACGGTAATTCTATATATTCAACTTCCCTGTTTGTACCTACGCTAACCATACTTGGCATGTAAAATTGCACTCATGCAGAACTAAGAACACATAGACTCTAAAAGAGTTGAACATTCTCAGATAGATTAGATTAATATTTCATCTGGTTAATAAAACAAATGAATAACGATGCGCTAATTGGTAGCCAATTATCGGGAGATAAGATAAAGGGTAACAAGGGATATCCTGTTAAACTGTACATTTAAGTTACATTTTTAGGAGTCGTACACAGAAACTTATGCGATTCTATCACGCTGGGCAGCTTCTCTAATGGTAAGAGAACATCCGCGGCAGAGTTGAACGCCCTGAGGTAGGTTACGCGATTGATGTTTCATCTGTCCAAGAGTAAAACAAACGGATCGTTACGATATAGTGGCAGGTAGGAAGAGGAATTCCAGGTGGGGAAGCTATAAGGAGGGGTGCGACGGCAACGGCGGCAGGGGGGGACAACAAGGGGCATACCGCCTCGTTAACTCGTCGTTCCACATCATTTGCTCGCGATGGTGTGGGTGCACCACGCCGTGCCGCGGAGAGCAATATCGCTTTATTAGAAAGTAATAACAGTCCCGGGTCGAAAGAAAGGGCAAATTTATATCCGCTAATCGAGGAAAGACGCGGCGCATCGAGATATATCACCGAGTCGTGTGCACCCTGACACCCCCTCCGCGGCGGAGAACCGGAAACCCGTTCCATTCGTACCACGATCTCGTTCCGCCGATTCTACGGATCACGCGAGGTAACCTCATTTCCTTCCCCGAGACTTGTCCAGGTAACGAGGCCTGGATCTACGAATAGCCAACACCGGCCGGCTGCACGTGGTCCCGCGCGCACAGGAAATTACGATTCGCGGAATAAGGATCTCGTTTGGAAGAAGCGTCGCGAATAACCAAACAGCGCAACATGCGCCTCGCGTTGTAACTCCGGAGCGAAAACGGAAAATTCTCACTCGTAAAGATTATACGTGCGTACAGATAAGGGCAGTATCTAGCTCGCAATGCACGCGAATTGGCTGGGTTATCGGGCGAAATAAATTCGTCAACTTTAGGAAAATACGACTAGGCAAAATGTATACGATGCACTTTAGATTTCATTTCAGGAATATAATCGTGATCCACCGTTGCGAATTTTAAAAAATGTTTAATGCACAAGTGTAATAAAATTGATAGATCGCCAAGTGCTTTCATGCGCTACTGCACCTGCAGTGGGAGTATTACTAAAAAGGCGTAAGAGGCAAACCTGATATACGCCACGCTGTCGATGATCATTTATCCATGACGTGTACGCTCGTCAAAGCGTCATTACGATATGGTAATAAACGTTAGGAAGGCTGCGCTTCCTTTCCCGAGTAAACAACCGTTATTGTTGCAGCCCGGACGGACCGACGGTTTTAAAGAATTCTTAGTGGAAAATAGCGGATGCGGCAGCTTTTTTTCCCCTCTCCTTCATGGGGACCGCTCGTAGCGAACGCGTTAAGTACCGGCTCTAATTGTATCACGCGAACAAAGAACCGCATACTTATCGTGTTAACCATTAAAACTGGGTTTTCCCAGGCTATAAATGAGTCTAATTTTTACTTCGTCCATTCAACGATGTAACGTTATTCGTTAATAATTTCCGTTGTTTTTTACGCGCACGCGGAAGTGGAACGAGCGCGAGGGGATCGTTAATGCATAGAATGGGTAATTAAATCGGAAAAAGGTAGAGGAAAAAATTAGTTGGCAAGCGAACACGAAAATTGCTGAGCAGCTATCATCGATTCGACGGAATATTGCAACACGTGTTAAAAATTGTTATGTCCGTATAGAAAATGGGGAAACTTTATAATCGTTTCCTTCGGAACTAAACCAATGAAACTTCAGTACAGAACGTTAGTTATATTACGTAGTTCATATTGGAATGAAGATGACAAATTATGACACGAGATCGAAACTGTGACGACGTTACTGGGCCGTCGATGAGCTGTTCGCTTCGTTTGTACTCGTCAGCGATCCTATTAACGTCGTATAGGGAGAAAAACGAGCGGGGGAGGAATACGTACATGGTTGGGCCTGAAAAGCCTGGCAAAGGGGATCTGTCTCGTCTAACCGGGAATTTGCCAAAAGTCGAGTTTTCCGGTATGTCTGTCACGTAGCCAAGCCGCGGCACCGGGACTCTTCCATTTCACAACCGGTTTGAATGAAATTGGAAACATTTCTCAGCCGCCACATTCGCTCCTCCGTGTAGACACTTGTACAACCGCACAATGTACAACGTATCTCGTGACGTATGACTCCTGCTATGCGGTTCAACACACGAATTAAAAGTAATCAGTTCTTTCCCCAATTCCTATTGTCGATTTCACGTGAAAAATACCTACATTAGTAGTTCTGCAAACCTATACAGATTATGTACTCATATTTGCGTATCCTTGAATTTCTCATCATTACGTTTCTACAATTTTTAAAAAAAAAAAATGACTACGAGTCATTTTTGTTTTGGACTTGCCCTTTCTTTATTCCGTTCTCATTAATACTGAACAAATCCTGGACGGGCGACGACGTGTCGCGCGAACGATCAGCACGAGCAAGGAAGAACCCGTGTACTGATCCACGGCGTGGTACATTTACGACAGCTCCTAGCCTCGTTTCAACGCCGGGGCTCTGTCATCACTCTCGAGAGTTCGCCATTAAACGCAGTCCTCGTCGATGTCACGTAGTACATAGTACGTATTCCGGTTGTTGGTAGAGAGAACGCGGAGACACAGCGAGGTACATACCAGATGCCGCGGATACACCGAGCCGCTTCTTTTCCCGCGTTTTACTGACCTTGCCTCTCTCTGCTAAGGCTTTCCGTGCCGTGCCGCGCCGAGCCGGCCTCCTCTCAGCCTCGGCTGACATGGAGTTAATAAAGTTCCGCTCGTACTACGAGACGCGTTCGCCAAAGAAACGGTTAAATGAAGCTGTACGCGGAATGGAGCATATTTTAATGTCTTGCTCCTTTCTGCCTCCTCCTCCTCCTCTCTCCCCCCCGTACCACCGCGAGGCCCCATCCCTGATAATGTACGTGCTCGGTGTGTAAATACGATGAACTTGGTAATGTGCCGCGGAAACCAGTTTCAAAGGTTCACAACCGAGCGCGTGGCGCTAAGCGTTTTACTCCTAAAAACGATCGGGTCGCGTTTCGACCAGGAAATAAATTCATCTTTATACTATTGTAAATTCTAGGGATCCAACAATAGACGTGAATAATATAATACTCTACTAGATTAAATAGACTTTGTAATTAACGCTGGGTCGAGTATACAATTGTGTATTTTATGCCAAGCTAATTAAAAAATTAGCGTAAACTAGATTTAATCATTTTCCAAGAAGCTTGGGTCTTTTAAATAGAGACCTGGTCCTTCTCTTAGATGCATTATAACAATAATTAATTTGTCATTCTGTATGAAGTGTTTTCCTTATCAGTTGTGAATAATTGCATTATTGAAAAGATAGAATTAAAATCAGTAATTACGTTCTTTAAAATCGATTTAGGAAATTGACACTGTTTCTCTTTGTACATGAGATACAACATTTGATAAATCTCATACCTAGTTTCATGCATTGTACTCGTATGACCTGACACTATATTCTCCTTGCGATACCGTTGAAAGATTCTATGAATTAAGTGTCTAGGACAACATCGTGCATAATTAATGCTCACCGCCGAGGTGCCTATATTCTCATAAATGGTGTGACTTTAAGTGCAGGGGAAAGAATATGAGAACAAAAACTAGTTAAACATTCCACGCGGAGGTGCTATTTATCAAAAGTGTTATAGACTTGAAAATGAACATCGTAAGGACAAAGCCGGTGCTTTGGATGTTTTTCATCAAGCTAGCCCTCGTAATCGCTGTTATACAGCCTCGTTTAATGAAGGCCGAAAAAGAAAAAACAGCAGTAAGCAAAAACCAGTTTGTCGGTGCATAATCTCCTATTACACATGTTGCGTGCGATAAACTTCGCATGTTACATAATCCTCGCCATGTGCTTAATGACGTTTTTTCGTTATAAATAACCATGAAAAAATTAATGATGTTTCAAGGGATTTGCTCTGGAATGCAAAAATATTTATATAATTTAGAGACCTCTGCTGTCAAGTTATAGCGTGCACACTCGTTTCATTCGTTACACCAGTTAGAAACATTGATTGGTAAATTGCAAGGAAATAAAATAGTGTTAGATATCATATTACTTTTCACTTGTAAAATGGTCGTTGCTTAATACGTTTTGCTATGGAATCCATTTTTATAAGTAATACACGTCATATTAATTTAATGAAGTAACGATTCTGAGTCATTGTCAATTACATTGTCGCAATCAATTTGGTAGGAAGCTTCGTGACAACTAAATTGTTACTTGTTAATATCGATAGACCGATGGGATTTTGATTCATCTTTTACACCGTGCAAATTGCATATAGTTGCGCTGTATTCAATATCGAAGAATAATTTGAGCGCACGTAGGTACAATGGGGAACAAGCGGAAAGAAACGAACGCGGTCGATAGATCCCAACGTAACAGCACACGAGTTATTCCTGCGAACGGTAAATCGCGTCGCGCACGGAGAAAAAGTCATGCGATCGTCGCATTCCAAACGAGTCACATACAGCGCGACGGCACAGCTGTTGACGTATTATCTTAATGATGAATAACGGCACAAGACAATTCGCTGCGTGACTCGCAGGTCTTCCGGAAGTGGAGAATTTTTGCCCATGTTTTCACGACTCGTCGCATCCACGTATTTATTCTCGATCCATTTCGACGAACGTTTGTCGGACAACCATGATACGTCGAAATCGTTTCCTACGAATATTCGGAACTCGTACATACTGTAATGGTTTCATCGTATGAAAAAACTTGACGAAAGCTTTCCGCATCTTTGTATATAGTATTCTGTATATATGTATGTATGTATGTATGTATGTATAGTTGCACTAATACGATGATTTTTAATTATTCTGTTTCAGATTCTCCTCTCGCATTTCGACGCGTTCAAATTCCCGAGCTCCGAGGTGGTGCAATTCCGCGCACTGGTGACGCCTTGTATGCCGACTTGCGAGCCAGTGCAGTGCGACCAGGAAGAGATGACGGGCGAGCTCCGTTCGGTGATCTCATACGGCAAGCGCCGTCGTCGTCGTTCGACGGCTGCTTCGGCCCAGAGCCGCGAGGATTTGCTCCTGGTGCAATCGATCCAGATCACGGACAAGTTCGGTTTCGAACACGACAGCAAGGCGTCGAACGCTAGCACGGCGACTAGGGACACCGTTTTCGTCGAGAGCGAGGACGTGTCGTCGACGATGGGCATGTGCATCAATCTGGGCGAGGCGATCGTCGCTGGAACCGTGTTCCTCGTCGCTCAGATCGCGATCATCATCGCGTGGACCTTCTCCTGGCAGAGACGTCGCCAGATGCTGAAGCATCAGGAGGCCCTCTCGGTGTCGGTTTCCGTCCCCGGGATGCATTCCGGGCCGGGACGCACCGACAGCCTCTGTAAGTTGTACGACGCCGGATATTCGGCGCGCCGTTTTTGAATAGGCTTCGTTTCCTGTCTCCCCGGCGGCGTCTCGTCTTCCTATCGACATCAGCGTTCGGCCGACTTCGCGGAGTATCCTCCGGGCAAATAAGCATCCCTCCGATAGTCGCCGAAATCTCGAGAGCTTCCCATCATTTTTGGCTGCGTCTCACGCTTCCAAATCGAAATCTTCCCGCCGGCGATAACCGCGAGACAGTACACCGAAGGAATCCAATTGGTAATGTGTAGCAATTGCAATCGGGACTCGTGCAAATCATCTACGGTACACGTAATCGGTAAGTCTCATTGGTACATCGGACGAGTTTTGAAAATATCTTCGTATCGATAGAAGACAGTTCACGCTCTCTCTTCTTTTTTTATGTTATAAGAACTATCACACGCATACTCTTCTAAGGATAAACGATCGAACACCGCATTCATTAATTTCCGCTTAAGAACATTCACGAGTCACGGCCATCGATAAAAAGTCCATGAAATACTTTTAATCGCGGTTATGCAAAAAACTCGAGAACCAGTTGCCTTTTGCGATCGCCGATTTCTTCCCCGGCTGCGAAACGGTCGCGCATCCTCTATCGCGCCCCTTTTTTGCGGTTCCGCTCACCTGCCGCTGCATGGCAGGCGTCAATTAACGTGATGCGTACAACTAACCACCATGAAACGCGATAAAATCGTCGACTGCTCCCGATTTATTTTCGCGGCCGATAGCGAAACGATCCCGTCAGCTGCCCGTCGATGGGCTAATTTTATTAAAAGGAGTCGTCGAATCGCGTTAATTAACGGCTGCCATCGTAACGCAACAATTGCTCTAGGGACTCGACGTGCCACACAGTGGCAAGCTGGTAGAAGCAATTAGGCGATCAAAGCGGCCGACTCGATCGATTATCTTGCAGCTTCGTCATTCCTCGTTCATGATAGCGCATAATCCCTCTTGTTTTCTTGCGACGTTTCTCCCCTTATTCTTCCACTCACAATCAGTCCATATTTTTCCTGTCGTTCATAAATGCGAAACGAGACGGGATGAAGCGAAATGGACCGAAGCAGGACGAGGCGTGGTGCTGTTTTCGAAGGTGATGGGGGGGGGGGGGGGGGGTTGAGGGGTCGACGCGTACTTGCTGGGGCATCAGCGCGGGGCTCTAATTAGCATTAGGAATCGAGCATGATTATGCGAATGCTCCTGGTGGGATATCAGCAGCGAGAGGGGGGAAAGGGGAGGTAAATGCCCGTGGACCTTAGAAGCAGGGGTGGAAACAACTGAAACGGAACGACTGGCAACAGTAAGAGACAGCGGTAGAAACCGGCAAACGGAGGGTGGAACGCGAGTAAGGGGGTGGGCGGAAGGTTAATTGCCTCTTGTGGCGTCTCGGGGTTAAGCTAAGCTTCGTGGGGTTAGACGAGAATTCGGGAGCAAGAAGGGTCGTGAAACGAGACAGCGAAATGCCGTTGGATCGCGTCGGGGGTAGCTGCTATCTAGAACCAGCGTAACTGCCGTCCCTTTTCGATTTAACCTTTACCCGGGATCTGGTCATTCCTCCCTGCCGGTTACGTTCATTTACATTGCGATACGTGAGCTTATCAAGCTGGATCAACGTGCTCCGATGACGAATTATGTCCGAACCCTTGGACGAACCGAGGAAAAACAATCTCCTAGTCACGAAGCGAAGCGAATTTCTAAATTAATCAATTTTCATTGATACGCGATTGTACAAAAAAATATTGCAAATATCGTCCATGTTCATTGTGAGAAATATTTTATAGCTTTTACTTCAAATTATTTACGTGGTTCTACAAGTATCGGGATTACGAAAATGCAGGAACGGGCAACTGCTATTACGGTTAGGAGCGTACGTCTGAGAAGCCGTTTCGACATTTTACTAACAGTCGCTGGTAGTTGCGCGAACCCAAGCACAAATACAGAGAACAGTCGCGTCGCATCGTTCGGGAAAGTTATAACGCGGAGTCGATCTTAACTTGGGAACGTAGACGTGCACAATGCACGAAACCGCGGAGACAGTGCAACTGCAATCGGTTACATCTCGAGAAGTATTGCTATTTAACATAACAAGCGTTCCCGGTCGAGATTGCCAAAACTGGCTGCCTCGGAGTTTCGTTCGACCGATATTTTACGCGAGTTTAACTAGCAACCGATCTCTAGTTGCATATCGGGTGGCTTATTTCGATCTACCACTTAATTTAGTTGCAAATTATCTTCCCGGGCATTTCAATAATTTTTCATTCGCCATTTGAACATTTCCAAAAAGAGTTTCAATGAATAGAAAAATAAGCAGGCTTATTTTGGCAAAAGTTCTACAACTTTCGAGACTTTTTAAAAAAATAATAGACGGATTACATGTAATTTTGGTGGTAGAATTAAATTAGAAATTTAAATCGATTAACCGTGGCTTTATCGAATACAGCCAATACAAAGGCTTCGGGAGAGATCGGGTTAATTGAGAAACTTGAAAATCTGAATACACCGAACGAAGGGAACTGGAAGACTCAAAGACGAAAGAGGAGGCTAGGAACGGGCAAAGTGTTAGCTCCTGATTAAAATGGAACCTTTTAGTTAAACGAACCAGAGGACCGTCCTCCTGTTCGACACTTGTCTATCGTCAAAGTCGATAAACAACGCACAGATTACCTTGGGTTTATCCTTCGATTTTAACGACGAATTTCATTTCTTACTCTTTTTATATCTTTTATTAAAATTGCTAAAATGGTTCGAACTTAAATTTGAAAAATCAGATCGTCGATTTTATAAAGAATGCTTCTGTGAATATCGAGATTGTTATACTCGCTGTCATTTAATAAAATAATAACACGAGATCAGTGACTGGATACGCTGGGTATAGTCCTTCGGTCATCAGAGCACGCTCAGCCCATATCGCCTCTCCCGCTTCGGTGCTACAACTTTATACATAAATATCCCAGTAAACACATACATACATGTATAATGTAATAGAACGATAAGAGATGCCAACGAAGAAAGGTGCCTACGCGTATCAGTAAGCGACGCGACCTAATGACTTATTATTTTACATTTACGAAATATGCTAAGGATTTATTCGCTAACGCTGACGTAGTATATCCAATTTGCTTGTGGTGAGAGGGTAGAGCCAATTTTTTATAGACGTTCGAACGGTAAATGTACGAACGATACGATTGCGAGCCGCGAACGCGCACGTCCTTTGAGTGAAGTACATATGCACATACATCCGCACGTGCTGGGTACATATGTACGCGCGTGCGTGACTCGCCGCTCGCGATGTTTAGAGATATCATCCTAGCGCATACACGAGATGGTGCATGAAAAATCTGGTTCTCTCTCGCCCCGACAACGAGGAAGATTGGGAAACGTTCCACCGTAACGCGCCTCTCCTCCTGTATTCTTTCTAATTTCACATCGAGAACAACGTTTCTCGGGCCAGAGCGGCGAGGGACGTCCGAGATTTTCTCGCGCCATCTTGTAGAAGAAACAGCATTTCAAATATGTACTATGTAGTTCTACATATATATACATATATATATATATATAGAACGACGTCCGGGCACTTTTCATCGACTTGATCGAACCGAAGCCGGTTACCTGGCCGCCGCGCGGCGAGCGTTTGATACCAAGTCAATGGAAACTGCGCCGTTTCGTTGCCTCGAGGTAAGGTCTGTTACAAAGTAATTAACTGTCCACTATTAAAAGCGTATACGATGGAAGTAAAAATCGAAGCAAATCATGTATCGTTATTTGATAATACGTCATTAAGATTAAGCGAGCACGGCCGAAACTGCGAACGATGAAAAGAGCAGTAGCCGCCCCGTTCAAATACGATGATAATAATATTAGGCTCGAGGACGATCGCCGTTTCTCGACGATAAATGACGAACCCCTGAGAATATTCCACTTATCCCGGTTTCACTCCGACAGCTCCGCGCAAAAGTTTGCCCTCACGTTTTTTTTTTTTTTTCTTATTCCTCCTCCTCCTTCGTGCTCCCTGTGTTCCCACGCTTTCCTTCGCCTCGTCCTTCTTAATGAGCCTTATATTCGTAGCCTCGTCTTCTTTATCGCGAGTGTTTACAAATGCAGAGATGTCGGTGCTTGTCCTCGAGCCTGAGGTGCGCGCCCACTCCCGTCGTAAGCTTGAAAAGCTCGAGTCTGTTCTGTACCCTGACAAGCATATCTCCTTTTAGCTACTTTTCTCTTCTCACCTTCCGCCCCTCGCTTTTACCAATCCTTTTATCTCGCACCCTTTGTCCTATTCTCTTCTGACCGACTGAACTCTAAACGATTCTTACTTAGCAACTACGCGAGTCACGTACAGAGCTTACCCGACTATCGAGCATTCTTTTTTTTTTTTTAATAATGTAACACGCGCACCAACCCCTAATGGCTTATTTATTTCTTACGTTTAACGTGTAACGCTCTTCAAGAATACTCGTATCTTGTCACGTTTATGAATTGTCTCTTTTTTTTTTTTTAAATGTACTTCTACCCCGTTGCCTTGTACGCGTCCACGGCCGGCGTTTTGTCGTATGCCTATCACGTATTAAACAATCTTTTAATTTTGGACGCGGTACGCGCATTTGTACATTGTACATGACGAAAGACAACAGGCAGCATTGACAACGAATTCGTCCGTCCAATACTTGGGAATTCGTGCGCGCGCGTTTAATTAATTTCTCGTTATTTTTAATTCACTCTCTTTTTTTTTTTATATGCCACAGTATCAAGACATCACCCTTTGGCTAAACATTTCGTATATGTCAGTACCGTAATACACACGTTGTACATAGCATATATGGTACAGAGAAAATAAACTCTTTTTATAACGAACTGATTTATTTATTGTCGCCTTCCATCTCTCCTTAAATATATTCCAAAATAAAATAAACACTAAATACGATTATAAAAAATATATTATATTTTTATTTTAGTACGAAATCTATAAAGTACAATTTGAATTATTGCAACTAGTGATTGCATTAATATTTAAATTAAACTAGCCGCAAATGAAGCATAAACAGCGTAATGGACGTTCCTGATTCCTCTGAACGACCTATTACAACTGAGTTTTAAAGGCATCGGGTTCGCTCGAAATTTCTGAAACGGCGTAACAGATCCAACGCGCGGCAAATAGCTGGAAGGCAGCCCTTAGCTCGCGTGTTTCAATGACCAAGTTAATCTAAAGACCTGCTAGCAGCTTAAGTAGGTTTCCTGGTAAGATGCTGTTGCGGGACAGTTATAAACCATTTGGAGTGGTACAGAGGTGAACACCGCGCCGCTCTTCGAGGATAACCGACCGTTCAAATGGGACTTCTGAAACGAATCGCGCATCCCTAATGGCAACGGTTTGGCTCACGTACGTATCAATCAACGCATTATTATGCTAAATATGTGGGACCGTGCCTCGCCTATAAACGCGGTTCAATTTCGTCAAAGCCGAAATACAAGAATTATCGAACGAAAAGGGAAATTCTCAATCGAGTCTCGACCACTGATTTCATTGCTTTACGATTCTTTGATTTAATGTCTTGTAATAAAGTATGTGCATGTAATCCAATAAAAATATTCGCATTTTCTATTTGTCAGAAATCTGATGTAACTAGAATAGTACTACAGACTATATTCATATTCATACGTGAACAACATTAACATTTACTTTAATTATGTGAGACTGAAGTAAATCTAGATACGTTCTTGGTTTGAATGCGAGTCTATTCATTTCCCATTAAGATCTAAGGTTATCTGAAAACGGCTAATCTCGAATTCATAAGATCATTCGGTTCGCTGATAGCAGATATTCAGAAGATGCCAATTTGAAATGTAGAAGCGACCGCAACGTCAGCGATAAGTTGTTACGCGACTGCGATAGATGGGAGAAAATGTGTACGTGGAATATCGGGTTTTATTGTGCCTCGCGGACGAAAAGTGGACCGCGTAAGTAAGTAACTATCCGAGATCACGGATTTCCAGCGTCCGTTAGCCGGGTTTCGTTTCGTTCAATCAGCGTGGGAATCGTGTTCACCGACCCTGAGAACGAAATTTATGAGCTTGATACCGTGGTAAAGAC